CCTGCTGAATTTTCAAATACTTTTCGAATGTTTCAAATGGTAGGAGAGCCTTTGCCAAAGAATCCTCTCTGTTGACCATCACCAAATATTATTCCCAGGAGCCTCTCCCTTCCACTCCGTCAATGTGATGGTGGCCCCTGCAGAGAGAGACCAGCCTTTGCCCACCCGGAGCAGAATTACAGCTATTAGAGGTCTAGTCATCCCATCTTGCCGGTTGCAACTATGTTTGGCCATCTGAGTGTATAAATATGAATCTGCTTTCTCCTTCTTTACTCCTTTCATGTGTATTTCCAACAGAAAGGAGAACCTGACTGCTATGCACTCTCCCTGGAAACAACTGAGCAACTCACCTTCGAGATCCCCCTGAATGATTCCGGTTCTGCTGGTCTTGGGGTGAGCTTGAAGGGGAACAAATCTCGAGAAACTGGAACAGACTTGGGGATTTTTATCAAATCCATCATCCACGGAGGTGCTGCTTCTAAGGTAGGTAGGGGTGATGTTTGCACATCAATGAGAAGATATTTAGAGATGTCATCGTTGTGCCTGGGGACTGGATGGAGAAAGTGTCTCAGGCTTGAGACCACTGAGGCTTTCCTGCCAGATGCAGGAAATGTATGTGTGAACAGATCTGGGTGACAGTTTGTTTTCATACTTTAAGTGGTCATGTCCTATTGATAGTTTTTAAAACTCACCATGATTAATATTCTCTTTTACATTATTTTTAATTACTGTTAGGATTCTTCTGAGTTTGTAACCTAATAAAGTTGAACCTAAAAATATGAAATCAGAAAAGCAAAACTAAAAACAAGTCAACATCCAAGCAACAAATAAGAAACTATACTTCTTGTGCTTGTAAGAATGCAAGTTCAGTGGAGTCGGAGAGACTGTAGTACAAATTAAAAGTCATTTATCACATTTTATACACTGGAAAATCCACTGGCAATGCATATTTGCCTTTGAACTTAGAGAAGCTTATAAATTTCCAGATAAAAAGAGAAGAATGTGATTCTGCTCTTTCATACAGGGGCAGGCAACATGATCATCGCTGTTACCATAATATAATGGTTAACTAGATTTGCCTGAGTTCATATGCAACTCTACCACCATGTGCTCCAAGTAGCGCACCATTAATAATAATACCTAATGTATAGGGTTCTAAGGATTGAATACAGTAATGTACACAATGTGATTAAAGCAGTGCAGTGATTACAGAGAGGGGGGAAAACACCCCCTCTTGTGCTTATCGTCAGCTGTTCTCACCATCATCATCGTCTCATGCCATGCAGTGAGGCTTCCTGAGCTCGAATCCTGCCCTCACTACTCTCACCGTGGGTGAATGAATGTAGGCAACTTACTTGTCCTCAGTGTGCTTGAGTTTCCTCATGTGTAAAATTAGTAGTGCCTGCTTCCTGGTGCTCTTGTGAGGACAAAAAAAAGACAATAGATATAAAATGCCTAGCACCGCACCTATGATAGACGTTGAATAAATGTTAGCCATTTTAAAATCATTTTGATATTAGTAATGTGTGCCTTCTCCCACTCAAAAGCCACGAAGGCATAGTTAGAGTTTACAGGAGGCCCCCCTGGTCCAAGGATCCTGGCTTTATTGAAGCATTTGTTTCCTCACACTTAATCATTCCACTTTTGCTTCAGACCTAGACCCTGAGCTAATGTCTTTTTCTTTGGGAAAGAAGAAATGCGTTGGGGATCGACAACTCTTTAATGCACTCCTTGGATCAGTTAGCTTCTGTTGCATAATAAGTAATGACAACATTTCAGTAACATACATCTGTAAGCCTTTACTTCCCTCATGGCCCTGCCAGGCAACTAGAAGGGCTTTGATTCAGGCTGGTATGTCTCTGTCGCACCATAGATCTACAGGTCTGAGCGTGCTCCACATATTTCAACTACACCTTGGACTACCAGGCTAGCTGATGTCAGAGAGTCATGAAGCCTCTTTAGTTCTGAGTTCCAAACTGGCATGCTGTCACTCCTCACACATACCAGTGGCCAAAGCAAGTCATATGACTGAACCCAAGGTCCATGTAAGGAATAGGGAAACAGTCCACCCATGATGAGTCTATGGCAAAGGTTCGGGTACAGAGAAGGGTGAAGAATTGGGGCCAATCATCCAATCTATCAAACTCTCCAGTCAGGCTCAGAAATGCAGAACCAGGAGCAGATGGGAAATGATAGTAATAATAGCAGCAACAACATCAGTTAACATTCATTCTGTTTTGTGCTTAATATATGCTGGACTGTATAATAAGTATTTTAGGTGGATTCTCTAATTTTATTCTTCACATTCACACTGCATTATAATCATGCCATCTCATTGGGGGAAATTGCAGATTTCAATGATTAGTGCCTCTCCTATGATCACAAAGCCAGGAATTGCTTATCTAAGATTTGAACCCAGGAAGTCTGACTTTGGAGCCTGCGCTATGCTGTCCTATGACAAAGCTCTTTCATCTCATCTATTCATATTTCCAGAGATCAGGGGCTGTTGTCCTGGAGTTGTCTTATATCATGCTTATCATCCTGAGCCAAGCCATCTAAACAAGTGCTATGTTTAAGAATGCATCTTGGTCATGTTTGTGGATACCAGCTTGACATTATTATTCTTATTCCTAATGACAGCTCTACAGAATTTATTCCAAGTAAAATTGAAACTGAAATGAATTTTTGGACATTAAAAGCAAACATCTTAGCTTTTTTTATGGGCAATAGCTTAAGCTCAAGCGATATTGGAGAGCAGGTTTAATATGTATATCCATGTTTGTGTAAGTGAGCATCTCCTTACCTAAGCAGTTTCTAACAGTCCTGTTTCTTGCAGAAAGGTTTCACTTTCCATTTATGTAAATTTCTTTCTTGGCACTGTCTGCTGAGTCAGACAATCACACCATTAAAAACTACTGGACAGCATATTTATAGCTGATCTTAAATAGTAAGAGGCATCAATCATGAAGTTAGCCTTATTGTGAATGTTTAGTATCCATTTGTCTTGTTTACTTTCTGCAATGTAGCGGGGTAGAGACCTAAGCTTTGCTCACAAGAAATCTGATTAACCAGGAGAAAGAAAAGTATTTTTCTATTCTCCTTCTGCTGTTCCAATAATCCACTGTTACTCCTCAGAAAATTGCCACCTGTTCTGTGATTGAGGATTAGGTTTTACAAAAATTGTTTTGAGACTTTGTTCCTGTCCTTGTTCAGAAGATACAAATGTAACAGACTGCACTGTGCCTGGGGCAGAGGGGAGATAAGCATGGGGAACATCCACTTTAGCATCTGGCTGGTGGGAGGTTTTTACCTGAAATCAACAAAATAATCTTCCTGCCAGGGCACACTCTTTTTCTCCTGGCCCTTCCTACCACTAATTGGTTCTCAAGGTGTTTTCCCCTTTAGGGAAGGTGGATTTTTGGAAACTAAACTACTTTGAAAAGTGTGACCAAATTCTTCCTGTGGCTTCTGTGTGCTCTATTCTCCTGGGGACTTCCATTGGTGTAAACAAAGACAGGCTGCTTCTTGCCAGATGTAAAACCCATGGATGACTGTGACTATAATTAAGGGCCTTCTCCCCCCCACCCACCCCCCCACCCCGCCCCTTACCTCTCTGGCTGCTGCTTTCTATCATTCCATCACTTATTTGAGTCATTTCTAATAAAGATATAAATCTCTATTTGAAAATAAGAGCATCTAGCTACCCTAGAATTCCCTCTTGGAAGTGAATCCCTCACCCACTCTAAGGGCAAAGTAACAGTATTTTTACTCTATTCAGAATTATTCAAATGCTTAATCTCATCATAATATTTAAATTCCAGTATGCATGTCAAGAAGTAAAGCCCAGACACTGTTCCCTGCTACTGGCAGGTCACAGCAATTGCCATTTCAGGCTTCTATAGCCTGTGGAGTCCTTTGTAGACCCCTCTGAAACATCCCTTTGAGCTATGCTTTTCAGTGTACAGCCAAAGTGACTACTGAGCGTAACAGCCAAATATGGATTAGAGTATTGATGCTGATTTGCTTAAATAATAACATGCCTTAAATGTGCATAGTTCCATTTTAGTTTCTGTCATTCTTCCTGGGCATTTGCCCCTGAATGTGTAGTATAATTACTTCCAGAACCAAATTATACTAGATGCAACTATATATGTTAACTTTCTCATGAACTGGGAACTATGAGTGGAATGAAATTAGGATTTCATGAGGCTGCTTTTCTAAAATTTCATTTTTGTGATTGGAATTTAAAGTGAATATGTTGTTGTTATAAATGAAATGGTATATTGTCTTTGTGCAGTTAGAAAAATAATAACTTGAGAAAAATATTCTCCTTTCCCAAAATCTACATTAAAATGAGCTTTTTCTTTTTCCAAGGAAGCACACATAAAGTCTAGACGATCAGTTTGAAGACCTCGCATAATTTCATCCTCATGTGCTAAACATTTTGAATTCTGGGATCAGTGGCTTTCTCTTCCTTTGCTTTGCTTTTCTTTTTTTTTTTTTTCTTTGTGGTATGCGGGCCTCTCACTGCTGTGGCCTCCCCCGTTGTGGAGCACAGGCTCCGGATGTGCAGGCTCAGCAGCCATGGCTCACGGGCCCAGCCGCTCCACGGCATGTGGGATCCTCCCGGACCGGGGCACGAACCTGTGTCCCCTGCATCGGCAGGCGGACTCTCAACCACTGCGCCACCAGGGAAGCCCTCTTCCTTTGCTTTTGGCATACTCTTAACTGAATGTTTTTTAGAGAAAATACATTTTTATGTCTATTGACAGTACTAACAAATTGCTTATTTTTCTTCTTTTTCTACCTTAAAAGTGAATTACTTTTAGAAAATATATAACTAGAATGGTGATATTTTTTTTTAAATTAAGGTAGAATACTAACACCCTTTACAGTAAGAATAAAAATTCCATGGAGTCTGTTGTACTAATTCTGAATGATGTTTTTTAATATGAATGTACTCACTTTGGAAGTGTAATGCATTCTATTGAAACCTTGAAACAATAATGTAAAAATTAAAATTTAAAGGCAGTTTTTGCTATGGGAAAAAATGTCATATATCAGGTAGATTATTTAAGGGCTCTTAAATAGAGAGAATGAATTTAAGAATACCTTTTATTCTCTAGAAAATTAATTAGCTAGGTTTGTACTTAATAAATACTACTTGATGATGATGAAATTAAATGAAAGAAAAATGCCTGACATAGCTAATTGCAAATGCATGCACTCAGAATATAAAATAGGTATAATTTAAGTAATTTGTTCTTGTATGCTTAGGAAATTTGGAATACAACCTCTGAGAGATGCAGAATTACATGATTTATGCCATTTAGTAATATGTTAAAAAAATTAAATGGTACAAGCAATCCCCCTATTTTAAAATGACGAAAAGTATGAATTTTTGGAGAGGATACGCACAGCCCTACAATTTCCGGGAACACGGTGCTTGGGGCTGAATTTCCGTGTCTCTTCATAGTATGGAA